TCAAAAATCCTTTCTTAGAAGTTACATGTTACTGGGAACCTATATTCCGATCGGAAGTAGTAATGCCTTCTGAGTTTAAATGTCAATGAGTTTCTGCACTTGCGAAATAAATATTCAACGGCCACTTGGGATGGGGCAAGTACAAAATGAGAAAATCATACGACCGCCGCAAAGCGCTTCAAAAGAATTTTCGATCAGATCAAAATGGTATGAAGCAAAATAATTTGCCCACCGGTTCGGACGTAGACCCACCGTGTCCCTCTTATGGTCATGATATAGTGATAAGAAGACCGGCAAAGTTGAACATTTTATAGAGCGGTGTTCCTCAACCACATAGTTTGAACGAAACATTTTTTTGAGATCAACGTTTTTGTGGGCTTCTTTAAGATATAGGAGCAATAAAAATGCATGTAACATACGTCATGAATCTACGTAAAATAGAGTTTAGGATCAGTCAAACGAATGTTTGTCGCGTTTACGTCGACCAACACAGATCTGTGAACTCTCAACAACAAGAACAGTCACTCTATTGTTTTGCGAGTAAGGTAAGAGAGTTTTGTTTAGCCAATCTGCCGAATCACTGGGAGGCGACACTTATTTTACCTACCAGCGAACTGATTTTTCATCTCTAGGTAACAGTCTCTCCTCGTAGAATTTACAGCGGAAAAAGTATTTTCGGAGTTATCCTATTTCACCTGCTTCTCATTCCTAGCACAACCTTTAATGCTATGTCATTTCATCATTTTCCATTATTCGGACCAATGAAGAAGCACTTGCATAGCCAGCAATTTCAAGCCGACGTCGAAGTTCAGCGAAGTTTGGACGTGACTTCGTTAACGTGACCGGGATTTCCTTCTTGCGGGAAGGTATCTACCGGCAGAGCTAATGTTTGAAGAAGAAGAGTAAAGCAAGATAGAGAAAAATGCATACAATTGCCTACCAATTATAATTTCCTGGGTCCTAAGGTATAAATCCTGACGGTGGATATTTTCCACACTATCATGGTGGAGCATTTTCGACAATACCT